AGTAGTAGTAGTAGTAGTAGTAGTACTCGTAGTAGCAGTAGTAGTAGTCGTAGTAGTAGTAGTAGTAGTAGCAGCAGCAGTAGCGGTAGCGGTAGCAGTAGCAGTAGCAGTAGCATTAGCAGTAGCAGTAGCAGTAGCAGTAGCAGTAGCAGTAGGAGTAGCAGTAGTAGTAGGAGTAGTAGTAGGAGTAGTAGTAGTTGTAGTAGTGGTAGTAGTGGTGGTGGTGGAAGTAGAAGCAGATGTACAGATATATATTGGAAGCAATATCAGTAGCTGTACGAGTGGCACTAGTCGTAGTCGTAGTAATCGTCGTCATCGCTGACATCGCTGTCATCGCTATCATCGCAGTCGCAGTCGGAGTCGTCGTTGCCGTCGTGTGCAGCCAAAGCAGTAGCATCAAATATGATAACGGCCAACAGACCAGCATTACCATTCGTGTAGGCTCCCGTAGTTCTAGTCGCTACTGCGACGCAATGCTGACATGGCCACACACGCACAAATCCTAGACTACTATAAGGGCCTTAATAATTAGAATAAGGGTTTTGATGTAATTTATACTACAGTTTTAATACGGAGCCCCCAAAATAGTATAGGTAATTATTAAGGCCCCGATATTAGCATGTCCCCCATCCCGGTTCGAGCATCTTTGAGCCCCTTGCATGGAAAATTGGAGCCGCTCGCTGCGCCAACCCGAGCTCAATCCGCGTGGGCTTCTGGGACTAATGTAGGGGCTGATAATTACAATAGGGTTTTGGGGTATATTTTGCTATAAACATAATTAATAAGGGACCCCCAAAATGGTATTACTATTTATTTAGGCACCTATATTACCTGTCTGAAGGCTGATGTAATGAATCGAAATCCCGAAATAAACCCTTAACCGATAACCCTGAACCGACACAAATTCTAAACCCTAAACCCTAAGCCCTATGCCCTGAAACCCACACCCTAAAGTGAAAAAACCCTAAACGACAAGACACCCTCCGGGCCTGGATGGCGCCTTTCGATCCACTGCCGCATTGACTCGAACTCCTGGACATCAGACAGACGTGGCTTTGGGGTTTAGGAATTGGGGCTTTGGGGTTTGGGGGTGGGCTTTAGGGGTTTTGGCGTGTTGGGGTTTAGGGTTTTGAGATTTGGGGGTCTTTAAGATTTGGGATAGTTTTGGGCTGTGGGTTTGGGTTTAGGCTTAGGGGTTGGGTTCTCAAGGTATTCTGCACCATGCACGTTCGCCACGGTGGGCTTTCGAGTTTATAGTCGCGGCACGAGCGGGCCTGAAATTTCAGACTATTGGTTCGAAAAAGATTGCAGTGGCTGCTTTCAAGTGACTCAGGTGAATAGTACTTCGAGCTGATTGGCTTTACCATGTGTTGAAGTGCACCAAAACATGCCACTTACCTCGGAGGAGCTACTGACGAAGGCAGAAGAGTCTTTATCCATGTTCTATTGATTTATTTTTCTGTAGTTCTACTGTTTGTGCTATTATTATTCGATGCTCGCCCTCAGCAAACATCAAAAGTCTCTACCCTTCGCCGACTAAGGCAAAGGCCTTTGCAGACTGCGCCGCACCGTGGAAGAACACCTCAAGGCCCCAAGTCGCAAGAGTGCTTAGGCTGAACGCGGCAGAGCCTGGGGATCTGTACAATAATATGATGTAATCTAATACAAAATACTGTACCATGAAACATTCTAACATACTCTGACATACTAAATTCATGTCTGGTGGATTGGGAGTTGATGGTTGAGGGTCTACAGTGCTGTTTGAGCCTTAGGGCTGGGATAGGAATTCTTGAAATTTAAGGCTGACGGCTTTGGGCTTGTAATTTAGACGTAGGCTGTATAACCTATAATACAGGCTTTTCACTATATACTGATATATACTGTATACTAGAAGGCCTGGAGTCCTAGAGTGCAGAAAAGTTGGGACTTGGTCGCGGTTACACCTTTGGAGTGCAGCTACTCAGGTCCTGTAGACATGCAAGCAAGCAACGCCGAGAGTTCAGGGTTTAGTGCTTAAGGTGTGTATACAATGCACATGCGGTGGGCGCGCTTCTCTTTAGGAATGGGGGTGCGCCCACCTATCGCGCTCTTGCGTCAGCAAGTCGTCCCGCTCCAACCATCCCAACTATTTTGAATCAGGGTTTAGGGCTCACCCCCCAAACCCCCCTCAAAACGGTGGTTCTTCCTCTCTGCTTCCTGTCGCACTTCTACATAAAATGAGCGCTTCACAGCAAACCACAGCTGAGATGGATTGGTGTCGGGTTGTGGGTCCTCGCGACCTGTGCCGGCCGCTCGACGATGGGAAGGCCGGAAGGCTCTGGGATGCCCTGGCCCCAGAAACCCAAAATTTAGTTTTTTGCCGGAATTGGACCCCTAAGAAGTGGGTTTGGCGTCCACCTTTACTGCCTGGCAGCAGAGAGGTCAATAGCGGGTCGTCACTACATAATACAGTCCTCGTATACCGGGAAGACGTTCGGCCGGGGGCCTCGGTCGGAGCCTCGAGCGCCCATCCAAGTGGTCAGCGGCGCTCTTGGCAATTTGGGATTTAGGGTTTGTAAAAAAACTAGCGCAGTCCCACCTATTTCAGAAGCTCGGGTCAGAAACCTGGCATTGCAGCTCGCGAAGGACTTTGCGCGCCGGGCACGCTTCAAGTCAGAGGGTCTGAGGGTGTGCCGAGCTCTGCGACTACAAAAGCATAGTTCGAGTGGTGAAAGGCTTTGAAGCTCTCTTCGTGTCCATTGGCTTGGCTCTGAATACGCTGGGATTTCCGACATGGTCGGCAGTGGACCTGTTAGAAATCTCAATTCGGTGGCGAGGACTAGCGCGAACTCTTTGCATGAAGGGACACCCGAAGAATCCGGATTCGAATCGAAACCCTAAACCCCAGACCGTCGCCACAAGCCGGGCGACGACGGGACGAAGTCGCAACGAGGAGTTGGAATGGTCCTCTCACGACAGCTGTCGAACTCTTTGGGGCCTTGGGGCTTCGGGCTTAGGGATCCTGGGACATTAGGGTGAGGAAACTTCGGGCTCCAATGTGCGACCTGACTGCAGCGACGAATATGAGAATACAGCTTTGGCATCAGCCGGGAGAGCAGTAATTACCTGGGGCTAGCAGCTTTGTGTTTGTGGATTTCCTTCCAGGGCTCCAGCTCTACTGCACATCAGCTGCGCAGCAGCCAAGCGGAAACCCTCAACCCTAAACCCTAAGCCCTAAAGGATCCCTTCCCCTGTTCGTCCTGCGCAGACCGATTCGTCCGAAAGGGCGTGCCGTGCGAGTTGATGCCTGTGCGGAGGCGGTGGCAGCAGTGGCAGCAGCACAAAATGCCCTTCAACATCACAGCCAAGAACAACATCACACTTATCAACTTCATCGTCATCAGCAGCATTGGTTTTTGAGCATTCTCAGAAACTTCTTTACAAGGAACGGGGCTCGGATTTGCCCCAGAGCCCTTGGTGCCCACCGAGTGGAGTGTTGGGATGTCCTTGGACTAGTCAGAAGCCTAACCTAAGCCCTAAACCCAGACTCCTGAACCGACGGCTTCGATCATCGTTCTCGCAAGAGGGGAGATGACACGGGGCCTTTTGGGGTAGAAACGCGGCTTTGGCGTCCGTTCATTGTACGAAGATTTTAACGAACCCTAAACAATATTGCTGGTCCCCAGCAATTATGCCGACCACTGCAATATAAATATATGTATATAAATGACATAGAAGCCGAAATCATTACCAGTATTACTCCTGCGGTTCCTTCTGCCCCGACATTAGCTCCGGATTCAAGCTTCATGGTGAACAGCGACTTTTCTTGGCTCCGTCGGTTGCAAACGCAGGGCGGGTGAACTATGCCGTGTCGAGGCTGCTGTTGCTATCCTGGAGCTGCCTCAAGGACAGCCGGTGTTGCTACGGTTCGTCTTAGCCCCATCTATTGTTGCTGCATTAGAATTCTAACTGCAGTCCAGCTAAAACAACAGTCCTGCAAGACTGGCGTTGCGGCTGACGTAGTAGTTCTAGACCATGAAGCACCATCGCCGCGAGCGTTACTATCACTACCCTTTCCATACTCAAGAGCACAGCCAGCTTAGAATTAGAACCTGTCATATATGATATAGGCAAGTACATCAAGACGTCAACGTATCGGACGGATCCCAGGGATGCTTGGCTCCAACAGTCCAGGTCGTCAAACCCGCTCCTGCCCACAAGAATTACGACTCTAGTGGGTTGTAGAGGTGCTCCACTACTGAAAGTCCTGATTCCTCTCGACCCCAATTCCCCAAAATCAACCGGGGCTGAAACCCTGAAGCCGGACAACAGGTTGACATTTTTAAAATTCAAATCCAGACCCATGATAGGCCTTCGCCCGCTGGCAGCTGGGGCTTCTGCTTGGCTTGCACAGAGGCCTCCAACGTCATCACAATGAACCATGATCAAGATCATGACTGCCATCACTGCTGCTGTGTTACAATCATCTCACAGGTAAAGAGATCAACAGCAACAGCTCCGTCTAGTAGCATCAACAAAAAGACTCAACTATTAATATCTATAGTGTACAAAAATCATGCAGAGCACTGAGCAAGATCGTGATTATGATGACCATCATGATGATGATCATCATCATGATACCATGATGGTCACGATGGCCATGATGGTGATGATGATATTGATGATGATGTTGATGACGGTGCTGGCGACGAGCGCGGTGATGAGGATGATGATGATTATTATAAAGGTTATGATGATCATGATGATGATGACGAAGATGAACGTGACGATGGCCCATGGCGATTTGTGGTGATGATGATGAGGAGGAGGAGGATGTTGGTAATGATGATTATGATACGAATAATGATAATGATGATGACGTTCATGATCATCATCACCGTCATGACTATCACGATCATGATGATCGTGACGGTCATGGCCTTGATGACCATGAGGATGATCCTGATGTGATGTGGTGATGACGACGATGATGACAGGTTTGCGGCGTCCAAAGGTCAGCATCAGCATCACGACCACCATCATCAATGCTGATGCGTCAATTGTCCCATGAAAACAAAGGATGACGTGAACAAACAAGGGGAGAGTAGAGAGTAGCAGTCGCAGCGGCAGCGAATTATAAAATCGCTGATCCTCGTTGCAACAGGCGACAGGGTCTCTCAGATGTTGCTTCGGCGAGAAGAAGAATGCAAAGTGTAACCTCCAAACGGCATTGAAGTATGTGTTATCTGGGGGCTCAGAGCGCTCCGAAGCTTAAAGCACCCGAATCTCGGAAGCATCGCTGCGACCCAAGTCACATCCAATGCGACAATATCACCCGCTGGTGCCCTGGGGAGGTGAATCAGTGAAGCAGGTAAGCTGAATTCTCGATGTGATTGTAAGAACGATGACTGCGATCAGGTCTGCCATTGGATTTTGACTGCGGCTGTATGAGAAGCACGTATACTAAAACCCGTTGCTGGTCAAAAAGTCTCACAGGACTATAGACTATAGGTACTCGTGCAAGTACAACAAAGCAAGAAAAGCAGACCAGTCCTTTGATACAAGCTCAATGGCCCTAATCCCTAGACCCTTAACCCTAAACCGAGGTCAGAATATTCAACCCTCGAGTTTACGTCTAAGCGAACAACGGCCCTGAGCCCCACTTAAAACTCGCAACTGATACGTAATCTTGATAGTGGCACGGATGCCCTTCTCTGCAAACATCTCCACGCTCCCGCATGATCGAAGCTGAGCACGTCAGCACTTTCGGGCTTACAACTTTGGACTCAAGATTTACCTTAACCTACCAGAGCCTGTCTTTTGTAGGGTCCCTATAGCTTCCATGTTAAAAAAATAGGTTTTGGTAGCTTGGGGTTCGGTATTGAATCCGCAACGGACCACACTCTGGGTTCCTTGGGTCGGGAATACCTCTTTAGGGTTTAGGGTTTGGGGTTTAGGGTTTAAGGTTTTAGGGCTTAGGGTTTTGGGGTTTAGGGTTTGGGGTCTGGGGTTTGGGGTTTAGGGTTTAAGGTTTAGGGTTTGGGGTTTCGGGTTTAGGGCTTCATCTTCCCGTATACTTCCATCCCAGACTTCCGGGAGGATCTAAAAAATAGATCCCCTAATGTGGAACCTTATGCTACTAAAGGGTACTTTATACCAAACCCATCAGAGGATCTACTTTTTGGATCGTCCCGGGGCTCGGGGATGGCGTAATATACCAGAAGCGGTTGGAACGACGGTATTTAAACCCTGGATTAAACCCTTAGTCCTAAACCCTCCCATACTATACAGACCTCATAGAGAGCCCTTGAAAAAAACTCTTATGCAATCCTTCAAGGAGCCCTCTAGCTTAGAGGCTCTAAACTCTAGACCTGTATTGAAGCCGCAGAAAAGCCCTTTAAAATCCCGATAGCACCCTGATGAAACGGTATTCTCATTATTGGGCCCTATATCAAAACGCCAGGACATAAAACTCTCATTATAGAATCCGAATTGAAACCTTGATAAGGAACCCAACTCAAATTATGCAGGTCCCGATATAGAGTGGCCTGGTATCCACCACTGGCTGGCCAACCCGGGAGGCTGCGAAAAAGATCCCGCTGCAGAGTAATAAGCCTGTCGCTCGGAGATCAGGGTTTAAGGTTTGAGGTGTTGGTCTTCGATTTTGGGGTGTAGGGTAGCGCTAGGGGCTTACGGGATTGTGGCTCTCATAAATATAGCTGAGGGCTTGAATGTAACAATGTAGGCCTTGGAGCTGCGAGTTGCAAGTGTGTCAGCACCTGGGGCTTGGGTGAAAGGATGAAAGAGGTTTCGAAATCTAGACAAGCTCCAGAAGCCTCATGGTCCTGGAAGAGGAGAGTGCTTCATCAGCGGAAAGGGGTTCGGAAACTAATAGGGTTTTGACTGCACCTGGGCTTCACAGAAAGACCACCTGTGGGAGCTTTGTAGTTTGGGCTTGCATATGCATAAGCTCCTGCACGTGTAAAGTAGGCACTGATCCGACTTAGGTGTTATAAAAGCTCGGAGTTTCACTGCTGAGGGGTCGACAGTGGCCCCTAACAAACACAACGGGCTGTCGGGTCAGGGTACAGAGGTAAGAAAGCAGTTTCGAATCCTTCGGTAGTCTTATTTAAAGCAGGACATAAGAGCCGATCCTAGCGAACTTAAACCCGACGGAATTATGTTGGTAATTCTCTAGGCTTCAATATTACTCCCTAAACCCTAAACCCCAAACCCTAAGTACACCCGAAACCCTAAACCCGGGACCTGAAATCTTACCCTCATGTGCACGACGCCTACAGCCGCTGCGGTTGGCCAAATTCGGCGCGTCGTTGCTGGCTCGCCGAAGCGTTCCTGTTCTTGTCTTCTTGTTCTCTGCATCTGTGGGTCCTTCACGTCAGCTTCCCGGATTTTTGCCTCTGCTCTCTCCCTGCGTACGGATCTCCGTCTTCAGCTTCGATCCTTTACCCCGAAGATTGAGCACGACCGTTCGCTCATCCGAGTTGAAAATGCCAATGAAGGCTTAGAGCTACGTCCTGGCATTCGCAGTTGCAAGTCACAAGACCCTGACTCTGTGCTCCGGAGCGGCATATCGAACAGCTTCTGAACCGTCCGTGCTTGCCGCATGCAGCGGAGAAATAGACATGGCACTGGATGTTGCACCCTAGGACTATTGAATGCACAAGGCCTACTCCGCTCTCGACTGGTCTCACTGTTTTGAAGGCTATGGATTCACTTCAAGGCCTGGAATAGGATGTCATGGCTCTGACACAGAACTACCTCCTGCCTGCTTGGACGTGCAGGAGAGCGATGCAAGACCCGACCCAATCTTCCCGGGCACTAGATCTAGCAGCGGTCGACCCGCAATTCAGCCCAAGTCTCTAACATCAACGAATCCTGAACACAAAGCATCTCACAATGTTTATAATCCTTGAACAAATCCCGAATCAAAACCACCAACCAGACTCCCGTATTAACCCATAACGCCAACCTAATCTTTCAGGCAACACAGAACCATGCCCCGAAGTAGAAGAGACCACCATTGTGAAGATAAACCCTATACAGGAAAATCGATCAAAGCTCGACGAGCCTTCCCACGACTAGATAGCAAGCCAAACTTGAGTATTGATTGCTGTAACATTGAATAGTTGTCATGCAGAGTGTTCAACGGGGATAGGGCCTTACGGTTACGGATCAGGAGGTTTAGGGGTGGGGCTTCGGGGTTTCGCAAGATGGCCCGTTTTTTGCACTCGAAGTGCTCGGCGCCGCATCCTCGACCTGTTCGATTGCCGACTCGGCTCGGAGACCATGACACATGATCTCCGGAAGCAAAACCGGCGATGTCTGTGGTGCGTACAGGAAGTCGAACAAATGGTTGGGTTGCGTGTTGGGTCTATTCGAGTTCCGCGTTTCGATTTGTCACAAACATCGCAATCGCAGACTGCTATCCCAGAAACAGCTTTGCTTAATACCTGGGGCTCGTGTTTGAACAAGGCCCCTGTCAGCATCTGACGCATCTGCCCCTTCATCGTAGCCTCTGCCAAGGTGCCAATTGCCTTGGCCTTTGTATCTAGCAGGTCAGACAAGTCTTTCAGGAGACCCGGCAACCGACGGTGCTGTGTCCTTGCTTGCCTTGGGGGCAGACCGTGACCTGCAGCAGCACCGGGTGCTGCTGCAGGTCCGCCGCCAAGGCAATCAAGGATATATCTTCGCTCCTCTTCTGCAGCATCTCGCTGTCTATGGAGACTTCGACCAGTGTTTGTAATTTTCTGTCGCACTTATCCTCTTCCATTGCACTTTGCACTGCCTCCCTAGCTCACGGGCGAGGCCCTACCCACAGCCGCCATGACGGAGACGACGCAGAGGAGGCACAAGCCGATGGGCTTGTACATGTTTTCCAGATACTTGCGAGGCAACGGCTGCGGACACGAGGAACGTTGGTGCAATCCTCATCTTTTCAAGACTTTTATAGCTGCTGAAGAAGTTCTCACATGCCATCGGGGCAACTCTGGGTCGGCGAGAGATAACATATCAAAGTGTAGCCTGAAAGCTCGTTCATCATTGAAAAAGAAGTGAAATGTGAACCAATAGTCATGCAAATCTGCCAGAGAAATCTCGAATCTGTCCTTCAAGACATCAAGACCAACTCTGATCCGATCAAGGATCGAGACTCGAGGACAAAGCATTCTGCCTCTTTTGCGCGGCGCACTCTTGTGGTCCACCAGCGTCTGGGGTCATGATAAACATCATGAAACTAGTGTTGACCTTCGTCGTGCTTCTTTTCATAGGAATAGCAACTACAGTCATCGCTGCTGAAACACGAGAAACCGCACCCTGAACAAACAAAAACCCAATGCCCTAAAACCCTATGCCCAAAATGTTAAAATCAAACCGCGAAGACTTCAAGCGGAGATCTTTGCCACTACACATCTCTAGACTGCACTCTGCCGCCCGTAACAGCGGGCTTCCGGGTCCGTCTCCGGATCTCCCGGCGCTTCGTCTCCTGCTTGTGGGGAAAGCGTCAGAGCGCAGCGCTTGGGGAGCTAAAGGGGGCTTGGGGGGTTGAGGGGGATTTAGGGGGATTTAGGGGGGTTTAGGGGGTTTAGGGAATTTAGGGTATAGGCTTTAGGGCTTTGGGGCTTTCAGGGATCAAGCTTTAGGCTCCATAGTTAGATTCAGCCTCTGGGCTCTCGGGCTCAGAGGGCTTAAGTTCCGGATTTCGGGGCTATCATCCGTAGCAGCGGCTTCCGGGTTCGGGGGCGAGGGGGCTCCTTCCTCGCTGGTGGAGGTGGGAGCTCTTGTGACTTTACAAGAAGATGAACGAGAATCACCTGTAAGAGGAATGATAAGAACACTGACTGACAATAACTATGATACCAAATCAAGTACGATACTGAGAAGAATACGACTAAGAATCATAACAACAACAGTATAAGAGTAACATTCACATTCGCAATAAGATGCGTCGGATTCGAAAGTCCTGCACGACGAACTCCAAGTTCAGGTGGTTGCCCTGGCGATAGCTTTCCGCCACCTGCACGTGGCAGTACATCAAAGAGTGGGCCCTGACAAACCCCCAAATAGGGAACCGAATCTTCATGAATGTCATGAAATACGACGTTGAGTCACGTTGACTCCGAGGAAAGAAATTAACTGCACAACGCACATACCAGGAAGATGGATCTAGAATGCCCAAGGAAAGCTCTCAATCGGCTGGAGCCGAACATCCCGTCAGTTGCAGGGCCAGGGCAAGCTTCGCAAGTAGAGCTCAGTGGGCTCGAGGGACCTACCACGGCTGTGACCTTACTTGTAAAGTTTCTGAATTGCGAGACCACCATCAGGCAACAGGAATCCTTCTACTCCAACCGACTTCTACTGGATCATGGTGCGGGTATCCTGCATTTGGGGCTTTGGGTTTGGAGTTTGCTGGCGACCCGTGAGATTGCAAAATAACCACCAAAAGCCCTTAGTACAAGTTTCACAAGCGTTTCGGCTAGTCTATCCTACGAGGAAGAAGCCTGCAGCCTACCCCCCCCCTTTTCTCCTTTTTAAATAACAGCCCAAGACCTTTGGGCTCAAGCATCTGAGACGGGAAGAGATCTGGAAACGGCTTAGGATTTAGTTTTGTTGATACAAGCTGGTGCTGACAGTCTGTCGGGCTGTGGAATTTGCTCTGAGGGCAGTCCCCCAGAGCCTGATGGGGAGGTGTGGTCGCTCCCTATTGCCATTCTATCTGCCTTCAAATAGAAACTGATCCTCAAAAAATGCCATTCAGTCTGCCTTCAAATAGAAACTGATCCTCAAAAAATGCCCTTCTATCTGCCTTAAACTGG